TTTTTTTTCGGAGAGATGACAATAACTAATAGATGTTAGATAACTAAACTGTAGTGATTTGTAGAATTTTATTAATATTATGTAAAGCTTTTGTATGTATTCATTCCTGTGATTGTTTGAAAGGGATGAGAGAGAAAGAGAGAATTGGAGATGGTGAGTGGAAAGAGAAATTCAGAGTGAGAAAGATGCTTTTTCATAATAATCTCATTTGTTTGTTCTGCTTACATATATATGGAGGTGGTCCCACCACTAACAAACTCACACACTATTCTTTAAACAATAAAATACTAAATATTCTAATTAATATAAGACAAATGGATGGACTAGATTAATGCACTCAAATCTTCAATCCCGTCTGATCTCTTCCACGTGTCAATAGCTCATCCTTTAGCCTTTGATATTCCAAACCCGATCTCATCGCTCATCTTCTCAATTCTTTCCCCAAAATTCCCAACAAGAACCCTAAATTCCCCAATTTCACTTAGATTCATGACAATACCGCCCCCGTTTTGAGATCCTTGTCCCCAAGGATTAGCCTTTGAGAACTTGCAACGAAGAAAGGCATCGTCTTCCCAAGTGACAATCGGAGTCTCGCCACTATTCCACTGGACAAGGGTCTGAGGCACCTGCTTACCATGGCGGACAATGGAGCGATAATCAATGGAGTTTAGGGGAGATACGAGGAATTTGCCAGAGACATCAGTTGGCGGAAATTCGGTCTCAAGAGTCGATAAAGGCCCGAGCTTTTTCTTCAAGAGGGAATCATGGAACACAGGGTGAATGCGGGCACCTGGTGGCAGATCTAAACGGTAATCAACCTGCCCTATCTTTTCTAACACCTTGAAGGGGCCAAAATATTAGGCTGATAATTTGATGTGCTTCCTTACTGCCACTAAGCTTTGCCTAGAACCATTCTTCAAGGGTTGAAGAAAAGATTGGAGAAGGCGTCGGGAGCCTGGGTGGACGAGTTGACAACAGTCCTATGGGCCTATAGGATGACTCCGAGAAGTTCAACGGGTCAATCCCCATTTCACATGGTTTACGGAATGGACGCACTTCTGCCAGTAGAAGTCGGCTTGAACTCTCACAGGTCGACATTCTACAAAGAAAAGACAAATGAAGAAATGGTCGAGGAGGCCTGCGATTTAATTGAGGCAGGGCGAGAGGAAGCTTGGGTACGATCAGTCGAGTACAAACAGAAGATGCGCGCAACTTTCAATAAGAAGGTCCGAACCAGGCGTTTTCAAGTGGGAGATCTCGTCCTCAAATGAGCCGATGCTCTCAAGCATGTCGGGAAGCTTAAGGCTAATTGGGAAGGACCCTATACGGTCACAAAGGTGCTCCAGAGAGGTGCATATGAACTCGAAGATGGAGAAGGTCGACAACTGTCGCGATCCTGGCACGTGATCCATCTCAAAAGCTTTTACGCCTAAGGAAATGTTTCGAACCCCCTTTTTGTACTGAACAATGTTCAAATCAAATTCAGTAATGAAATGAATTTCAAGTTTATGCTTCAATTATGTCTCTTACATTTACGCGTCGACCTTATTATGATTGTCTGAAAAATCAATTTTTTCAAAATGGTTATGTATCCGACTAACTCTTATGACTACGAAGCTGTAACACTCGAGTGGAACCTCAAAAAAGCTATGGAGCTTATGACTACGAAGTCGATTAACTCTCGAGTGAATCTCGAATAAGCTACAAAGCTTACGACTACGAAGTCGATTAACTCTCGAGTGGAATCTCGAATAAGCTACGAAGCTTACGACTACGAAGTCGATTAACTCTCGAGTGGAATCTTGAATAAGCTACGAAGCTTGCGACTATGAAGTCGATTTACTCTCGAGTGGAATCTCGAGCAAGCTACGAAGCTTACGACTACGAAGTCGATTAACTCTCGAGTGGAATCTCGAATAAGCTACGAAGCTTACGACTATGAAGTCAATTAACTCTCGAGTGGAATCTCGAGCAAGCTACGAAGCTTACGACTACGAAGTCGATTAACTCTCAAGTGGAATCTCGAATAAGCTACGAATCTTATGACTACGAAGTCGACTAACTCTCGAGTGGAATCTCGAATAAGCTGCGAAGCTTACGACTACAAAGTCGATTAACTTTTGAGCGGAATCTCGAATAAGCTACGAAGCTTATAACCATGAAATCGATTTACACAACTACGAAGTTATAACACGACTGAAATCTTAAATACGCTATGCAAACAACTTAAAAATATCCACACAAAGAATATCAAGATAGCTATGAAGTTAAGTACACAATCCTCTAAACGCAACTATGACGATGAAGCTTTATGTTTAACCAGCTACGAAGCTGCTAACATCGTTGCTCGACTTCGACCAGCTCGCAAGAAGGGTTGGGAGAAGACGAGTTGAAAAACTTACGTTTATCAGTTACGAAGCGGCTAAAATCATTGCTCGACTTCGACCAGCTCGCAAGAAGGGTTGGAAGAAGACGAGTTGAAAAACTTACGATTATCAGCTACGAACTTGCTAAAATCATTGCTCGACTTCGACCAGCTCGCAAGAAGGGTTGGGAGAAGATATAAGGAAGCAACAGCAGGATAACTTGAAAAACATGTAACGTGGCAACTCGAGAAAAGAAGAATGGCACAAATACGACACAAAAATGAGGAACGAGAAAAGATAGAATAGTATTGATAATAAATGGTTCATTACAATCATAATCGTCTCGACCTTTACAGCCCTTGAAAATAGGTCGAGAGCGATAAACATCCTAGAAATTGCAAAAAAAGAAAAAAGAACAAAGAACAAACAAACAACTTCAAAAGAAATGTTGGCATAGCCCCGAATAAGATAGACACGTCTAAGAGTCGGCATCCGACTTCTCAGTAGTGTTGTCTCCACCTTCCGTTGCGACAGTCTCGGTCTTGTCATCAGCATCATCCTCCTCGGCTCCTTCAGTCTTTCTCTCGTCATCACCATCGGCAAGCGGCTCGGTCCCTTGCTCCTTGACTTCCTCTTCCGCATGATCAGCCCCACTTGGCCCGATTGGTTTGGTCAGACCGACCAAGAG